CTTAAGTTTTATTTATTTTTATTTTGTGTGTATGGGTATTTCCTGCGCGTATGTCTGTGCGCTGTGGGCAGTCGGTGCTGGAAGAAGAAGAAGAAGGTCTTGGAGTACATGTGGTAGTCAGAGGACAACTTGGAGTGGACTCTACCATTTGGGTCCTGGGTTCAAACTCTCCTCATATTTGGTGAAGAGCATCCTAACCACCCCCTGAGCAATTTACCAACCCTTAGCTTTTTTTAATTTATGTGTATGTGAGGGTAGGGTGTGTGCATGTGAGTACAGGTGCCCTCCAGAGCCAGAAGAACACTTGGATCCCCTGGAGCTGGGGTTAACAAGCGGTTATGAGCCACCTGATAGCAGTGCTGGGAACCGAACTCACGTCCTCTGCAAGAGCACTCACTGCATGCTCTAATACCTGCTGGGTTCTCTTGAGAGTCTTACCGGGCAGCCAGGCTGGCCCTAACTTAGTGACCTCACTGCCCCAACCTGCCAAGTGCCCGAGTGGGGACTAAATGAGGCTCCCTAGCTTTGACCATAAGGATCATCAGCAAGAGCATTTTAGCAGAATGCTGGGGCTGGGGGGATGAAGACACTGAATTTGTAGATCACTTTTCCAGAGTGTTTCTGCACCTTTGCAGTAGAGAGGGAGCCATTAAACAGGAACTGTGATGTCCCCAGGGGAAGCTGAGGTAGACATCTAGGTGGAGAGAGTGTCTTGGAAGGGCACAGAGACAGATGTTTATTTCTCCAAGACAAGAGTAAGAATTCACCCAAAGCCAGGCAGTTGGTGGTACAGGCTCTGAGTTCGAGGCCAGCCAGTTCCAATTCCAGCAAGTTCCAGGACAGCCAGGGCTACACAGAGAAACCCTGTCTGGAGGATTGGGGTAGGGGACGAGAAAGAATTCACACAAGTGTGTGTGGAAAAGATGTGCAGAGTTGAGGTGTTCGCCTCTGATCACGTCTCCTCTCTGTAGTGGTGGGAAGGGGTACTGGGAAAGTGCCAGAAGCAGACTTTAGGGAAGGCTTGAGTGGTAGCCTCACCAATGGCCATCGTGAGCATGGTGGAGCGGCCGGGCAAGTGGGAGAGCACACAGCTGGGTGTCTGAGTTGTTTTTCTCTCACAGGAACAGAAATGAGTAGAAGCGTCTGGCAGAGTAGAAGACGCGGGCGAAGCCGCCAGCAGAACCCCACCTTCAGTCAGGGTGACTCTAGCGAGAGGTAAGTGTACAAGTTTGGGGGCCAGCCTTGCCCAGTGCCATCCTGGCTGTCCAGTACAGTGCTCGCACGTGTACTCGCCTCCCAGAAGGAGTTGGCAGTGGTGCCAGTAGGCCCGAAAGCCTGACATGTTGCCATCAGCCCACTGCTCCCGGGAGTGAGGGCAGCCACACTCTTTTTTTCGCGGTGACTGGCTTCTGACCAGAGTGCCAGCCGTAAGGCTACTGGTAGAGTTTTCTGACACAAATGGAGATCTGCTTTTCCATTTGGAGACTTGGGAGGGGCAAAAAAAAAAATCTTTCTGGAAATATTAGCTAGTGTTAGTCCTGGGAAAGGGCTTATAAAATATGTACTTAACATATATGTTGCTTATATAAAAGTATATAGTATGTGACATAATTACATAATATATGCATTCTACTGAGACAATGACCTGATGCCTTGTCTCATCTCTTTTTTTGTTGTTGTTGTTTTGAGACAGGGTTTCTCTGTGTAGCTCTGGCTGTCCTGGAACTCACTTGGTAGCCCAGGCTGGCCTTGAACTCACAGAGATCCTCCTGCCTCTGCCTCCCAAGTGCTGGGATTAAAGGCGTGAGCCACCACTGCCCGGCAATATATGCAAATCTTTATGTAGACAACATTTTGTGTGTGTATGTGTGAGTGGAGATCTCTACATAGCTCTGACTGTTCCGAAACTCACTTTGTAGACCAGACTGTCCTTGAACTCACAGTGCATGTGCCAGTCCCACCACCACCATCCCACCCCACCCCCACCCCAGCATACCAAGTGTTTTTTTTTTTAAAGAATTACTTATTTACTTACATGTACAATGTTCTGCCTGCATGTACACCTGCAGGCCAGAAGAGGGCACCAGATCTCATTACAGGTGATTGTGAGCCACCATGTGGTTTCTGGGAATTGAACTCAGGACCTCTGGAAGAGCAGCTGGTGCTCTTAACCCCTGAGCCATCTCTCCGGCCCACCAAGTCTTACTATACACAAAAGTATTCGAAGAATAAAGCAGTGATTGCTGTGTGCCCACCCACCTTGGACTGTCTTTAAAGTCCCCGGAATACCCATTTTCCACATCCCATTGTTATCCTGCACGAAGCACAAACATGCCTGTCTCAGAACAAGAGCCTCCTCACCACCCACTCCCGCATCATCCTCACCTGGCCTCGGGTGAGGACTCCCAGGACTTCTGACAGGAAGTCTTCCCTCGGCTTCACAGGTGGTCCCCTCTTTACAGAACAGGTGCCAGCTGCAAATTCTTCCACATGCCGATCCTCCTTTTATGCATTTGGGGGGTGCGTGCCATGGCGTACATGTGACGGTGAGGGGACAACTAGGGGAATTGGTTCTTTTCTTCACCATGTGAGTCCCAGGGATCAAACTCGGGTCATCAGACTTGACCGCAAGCACCTTTATCCACTTCGTTGTCTGGCCAGCCAGGCCTCCTTTTAAAATAGATCAATTTGGAGGAGGCAGGAGTTGAGTCGGTATGAACTCTTGCTGCCATTGTGGAAGGAAAGAACCGATTCCCTCGAGTTGACCTCCACATGCATGCTTGCCCATGCATGCCTGCCCACGCCCATACACATTTTCAATTCTTTTTTTTTTTCAATTTCTAAACACAGGGTGATGATGTCAGATATCAAGGTACCCCCCAGAATAAATTAACACAAACAGTAACAAAACCCTTTGAAGATTATGAGAGAAAGAACAAAGCTATGACCCTGGGAGGTCTACTTTTCCCATCTAAAATGGCTCTGTCCCGTAAAGCCACCCTGACTTGACTGTATAAAAACCCCTAATAAGCTGCCTGGCCCTGGAAGCCCTCAGCACGTAGTAGAGCTCACTGGACATAAATCTCGAATTTGGCCCATACCGTCGAAAGATCAGCACTACACCCATTGTTGGTATGTTTTGGTAGGAGAGCCATGGATACTTTTTGGGCCCCGGGCCTTACCCCACAAGCCAGAACGGGTAGCAAGATGTGATCTAGGAGATTTTCCGCCAGTTTTGGCAGAGTGGTTTGGAAACCTGCTGGGCACAGCCACTTTCTGGGCTCTATGTGGAAAAAGTGGAGCAGCAGTCCTTGGATGGGAAAGACCATCATTTGTCATGACACTCAATCCATCCTCCTGCTGATCACGGATGGGCTGCCTCAGAACGCTCTGGACAGAAAAGGGAGAGAAAGGAATTTTCCCTGCAGCTGTGCATAGCGTCGGTATTGATGAGACACAGGCTGGTCTTTGCTTCCCTCAGCCTAGCTTTACAAATTTCCTTTTATTGTGTGTGGGGAGAAGGATTCTCCCAGGATTCTCACCCCATATCTCAGCGTGTAATTGCCACCGAGGCCACTGATGGCTTTACAAATCCAGTGTGTTAGCCATGCCCCCGTCCTAATATGGAGGAAATTACCTCTGTTCCCCAAATCCCAGTTTCTCCATCTGCAAGACTGTCTAGCCAGATAAAATTGAAACTCTGCTGCTGCTGAAGCCAATAAGGAATGAAACTCATCTGGCTTTGTAAATGCTGCTAAGCAGACAGCCCAGCTAGTAATATTCTCATTGACAAAGATTTCTGGTTTTCTTTTCATTGTGGAAAATTCCAAAAGACCTCACAACATGCAAAATGCCCAAGTGAGAAAAGAAGGAATTCCTATGACAGGTGTCCTCTTAGGAAGGGAGAGACGGAGAGAAAAGAGGGGGGAAGAAAGAGAGGGGCTGGCCCTTGTTTTGATGTGTTTGCAGTAAGGGGTCAGTGCTCCCCAGATAATCACAAAGGTCAGATGAAGGCTACAGACTTGCTCGAGTAGGCCCTTCAGTCAGAATGAGAACTGGCTGGGGAGATGGCCTTGTTTGATTCCCTGGAACCCATACCTAAAAGCCAGGTGTGGCATCCATCGTGTGCTTTCGCTCCCCAGACTAGGAAGGCGGAGGCAAACATAGCCCTGGGGCTCACCAGCTGGCCCCGTCTATTTTGTGAGGTCCAGGCCAATGAGAAATCCTGTCTCAAAAAGACAGATAGTGCCTGAGTGTGGACACCCAAGACCGGCCTTTGCCCTTCATGAGCACACACACACTCACACTGCCACAACTGTGTGTCAACAGGTCCACCACAGAGACATCGCAGAGCCCACAAGATTCTGACCACCATGATGCCGAGGCCCCATCAACCTCGTCCAGCAGAGCTGGAGCATCGTCTGTACCAGGTAGGCAGGAAGATGGGTAGGGCTCCTAGCTTGCCTGGAGGAAAGATAAAAGCTCATCCTGCCTTAAACCAGGTAGTGGGTCTGTCCTGGCAGCCATTCCTCAGCCAGGACTTGGATATGTCTCTTGTGGGGGGAGGGGCGTTGGGAGTCCTTTTTGGGGTTTTGTTTTGTTTTGTTTGTTTGGTTTTTGTTGTTGTTGTTGTTTTGTTTTTTGAGACAAGGTTTCTCTGTGTAGCTTTGGAGCCTGTCCTGGAACTCGCTCTGTAGCCCAGGCTAGCCTCAAACTCACAGAGATCTGCCTCCCGAGTGCTGGAATTAAAGGCGAGCGCCATCACCGCCCGGCTCCCGGAGTCCATTCTTGACTTGAGGGAATTCTAAAAGCAAATTGATCTGCTGAAGGAGCCAGGTGTCTGGAATAATGATTCTGGAGGAGATGATCTCTCCAATACAGAACTCAGCAACCGACCGAGACTGTTGCTCAGCCAGCAGAAAAGACACACAGACGACCAGGTGGGTCAGTGTTTTCATTTAGTCAGTTGAGTTCTTTTTCTTGAAGATCTTCCAGGCTTTTATTTCGACCCGGAGAAGAACCGCTACTTCCGATTGCTCCCTGGTCATAACAACTGCAACCCCCTCACAAAGGAGGGCATCCGGCACAAGGAGCTGGAGAGCAGAAGGCTGCAGCTGCTGCACCAAGAGGACAATCAGAAAAAGGTGGGCCTCACCCTCGGCTGCCCGGTGTCCTCTCCTCCGACAGCACCCTCGGCTGCTGAGAGCAGGTGGCCCACCAGACGCCCCGGGACACTCAGCGAGAGGACGGCAGTGTGCTGTCAGATTTTCCCGGGCATGGATGATGAGGAAAAGAGCAGGCAAGGACCCCACCTCCTACTCCTCCTGTTTCTGTCTGCTGACGTAGACCTTGGCATCTGGCCTTGCTCTGCACACACCAGCCTGTCCGGGAGCCTAGACGGAGGTGTGGCATTGACTCTCCAGCACAGCCCACAGGACTGCCTTGTGCCTGGGTTTCCTTCCCGCCAATGAGAGGAGACTTGGAGAGGACACCATCGAATTTCTGTCCACTTAATACCGCTTTCCCTGATTGTGTCCTGTGGGGCTTCCTGTTCCCCAAACCACAGCACAGATAAATCTCCAGTGGCGTTTTGCTTTTGTTTTTGTTTTTTGGGCAAGGTCTCTCATAACCCAAACTGGTCTTGAAAGTACTATGTGTCCAAGGATGGCTTTGAACTGGTGTCCAGGATCCACCTCCCCAATGCTAGAACTCCAGGTCTGTACCACCATGGCTACCATCACTGAATCTTCCTTTTCTTTTTTTAAATAAACTTAGAAAATTACCAGAATAGGATTTAACGCATCTTCCATCCTACGAAAAAACCAGCTGGGTTTTCTCAACACGGCCAGTTACTGCCGGTAAGACAATGCCTTGGTTTGTCTTGAATGTTCTTTCCTGTTCTTGTTTCTGTAGTCCACAATCTAGTCAGATGAGACCTTGTGCTACTCTGTGAGAAGTCTTCGGAGCTGAGGATCTTCAGTTTGCTCGCTGCCTTCTACATCTTTTTGGTTTTTCAAGACAAGGTTTCTCTGTGTAGCCCTGGCTATCCTGGAACTAGCTCTGTAGACCAGGCTGGCCTCGAACTCACAGATCTGCCTGCCTCTCTGCCTCCTGAGTGCTGGGTTTAAAAGTAATATGCCACCACTGCACGGCTCCTTTTTTATTTAAGCCAAGACTGGTGACACATAACTTTTAATCCCAGAACTCTGGAGGCAGATCCCCTGGGACTGGAGTTACAGACAGTTGTGAGTTGCTGGGAATTGAACCGGAGCCATTCTGGGCTCAGTCTCCAGCCCTACCTTGGTCTTACCGATTACACAAACACTCCCTCAGATACAGCTCTGCCTGGTATATCTTAAACAGCTCTGAGTAACTTTTAACTGCTACTCTCCTCAGCAAGGGATGGAGACTCCTGAGGGTCTAGTGAGAGAGGAGAAGGGATTTATAAAAATTAGTCGGGACTCTGTGACGCTCACAATAACTTCATTCCTGAGACCCCCCCCTTCTGGTGACAGGTATGGCATTGAGTGAGTACGTGCTCTGCTTCACCAGAATGCTGTGATGGGAGGGAGGCCAGGGATGCAGCTCAGTGTCCAGTCTTGTTTGTTTCACGTGTCTGATTCAGTCCCCCAGCATTCCCAAACATTGCATTATTTTTGTGACGGCTGTTATGACTCTAACTCGATCTGGCGAGATAAGCTGATAACTCCTCCCATTTCCTAAAGAGGAAACTGAGGTTCAGAGAGGAGTGACTTGCTCCAGGTAAAATCAGGACCTGTCGGGCTCCAGCCCCCGACCCTAACCCCTGCACTCTACTACCTCTACATGGATGTGAGGGAGACCAGTGCGCGCTTCAGGGAAGGCCAGCCGCGCAGGGGTAGCGCAGTCTCCTATATTTCCTTCCCAAGAAGGAAGAGAGTCTCGCAGAAAGAGCTCTTCTGCTGAGCTGGAGAGGAAGCCGTGCTTCGGAAGAGGAAAGGAAGGGGCAGTGAGGTGGGGGGCCGCACTCCTGGACTCTTCTAGTTCACCCTGTGCCCCTCAGCAGCTTGTTCATCTCTCAGGCACAGCCTCGTCATCCCAAGAGAAAGTTTGTACTAGGTGACTGGGTCTGATCCCTCTGGAGTCTAATCTTGGATTTGGGGAAGGGCTGCCCAGTGGTTTTTTATTTGTCCTTAGCGTTCTCTGTGAGAACTGATGTGGAGATAGATTGAGTGTGGGGAAAGGCAGAGTCCCAGGTGTTTCTCTTCTTTAGTAGTTGTTGAGCCATGACCTCCTGGAGATTCTGAACTGAATCATCCTCCTCTGGTTTGAGGCCAGCCTGGTCTACAAAGTGAGTTCCAGGACAGCCAGGGCTACACAGAAAAACCCTGTCTCAGAAAGAAAAAAAAAAATCATCTTAGGCTGGAGAGATGGCTCAGTGGTTAAGAACACTGGCAGCTCTTCCAGAAGTTCTAAGTTTAATTCCCAGCAACCAAATGGTGGGTCACAAACATCTGTAATATGATCTTATGCCCTCTTCTGGCATGTAGGTATACATGCAGATAGAGCACCATATACAGAAAATAAATAAATCTAATAAATAAAGCCAGGCAGTGGTGGTAGCATATGCCTTTAATCCCTGCACTCGGGGGGCAGAGGCAGGCGGATCTCTGTGAGTTCAAGGCCAGCCTGGTCTACAGAGTGAGTTCCAGGACAGCCAGGGCTGTTCTACAGAGAAACCCTGTCTTGAAAAACAAACAGAAGAAGTCATCTTCCCACAGAGGTGGTTCTAGAAGCATGTACCCCGGCATCAGACTGTGGTGTCCATTCCCTCCCTCTGTTTCTGTTTCCACCCTCAGTTTATCCCATGAGCTTCGGGTGAGCTGCATGGAGAGGAGAAAGGTAGAGATTCAGAGCTCAGATCCTTCTGCTCTGACAAGTGACCTCTTCAACTTCATCCTGGTGAGTGACACCTGTCTGTGGGTCCTCCGGTGTGGCTGCCACTGCTGCCTCATTGTTAGTGTTCACTACGCCTGGCTAACAAGCTGATTACTGTGAAAACAGGTGTCTGCCCTTTGGTTTGGTGGGAGTTTTTTCTGTTTTAAGATTGTGTGTGTGACTCACTCTTTAGTCCTGTCCCACGACATAAAGCCTGGGTCTTCTCCCTGGCCGTGGTGTGTGCAGCTGAAAAGGCACACAGTGTGGTACACGTCCGTGTGCCCTCAGCTGCAGCTCAGTGGGTTTCTTTGCTCATTGTCCATAGTTCCCACAGTGGCAGGGCCCTATAGACCTCCATCACATCGTTTGTAGGAAGTGGAAGCTCTCTATTTACTGAGACCTGGACTGGATGGAAGTTAAGGCCCACCAGTAGAGCCTGTGGACATTGTAAGGGAGCCAGCGTGTGCCCTGCACATGAAGGATCCTCCCCCTCTCCATGGGCCTCCTGAGTGTGTGTCTTGCCAGGGAGGCCACATCATCCTTCCTGGAGGCCAAGGGGAGGCCTGGGAGAGTGAGACTAGGCCATCCTCGGCTAACAGGATGGGAGGCCAAAGCACAGACCGACCCTTGAGGCCTCCTGGGTCTCGAGCAGAGCCCACCCATGAAAGGAGTATTGGGGTCAGGCCCAGATTCTCCGCTGCTGCAGCCCTTGTGATGGGAGTGGGGTCTGAACCAGCAGATCCTTGGCTGCAGTGGGTCCCTCCAGCCCCTTCCCCGGCACAGTGTGCAGTCTGCCGGTGCACATTTGCCTTCGGTAGAGCAGTCTCCCGTCACCAGCATCACGTGGGACTGGCTGGCTTGTATGGCCAGAGGGCTGGGAAGGCAGTTTTCCACATTTGATTCTCCACTGGTAGGTTCGTCCAGCCATGTAACTCTTCAAGCTTGTAGAGTTGGGGGAATTTTGTGTGTGTGTGTGTGTGTGTGTGTGTGTGTGTGTGTGTGTGCGTGTGTGCGCGCGCGCGCGCTTGTGCATACAAACACATGGTTACATATATAAAAAAAGATAAATATGGAAATTTAGTTTGAAATAACAATGTTATGTTTTGTTGGGGATTCTATTGGGGGAAGTTTAGGGGTTGCTTTTTGAGACAAGGGAACTATGTACCCCAGGCTGGCCTCAAACTCAGTTTTCCTGCCTTAGTTAGTGTCCTAAGTGTTGGTATTACAGGCACTGTGTTGTATTTTTAAATTAAATACAGCAGGGTCTCACTGTGCAGCTGGCCTAGAACTCACCGAGTTCTCCATTGCTTTCATGGTGGCCATATGGTATAGTTCTCTGGGCCAACATTCAGATCCTCCCAAACTCAGTTCTGAGGTAGTCACTAAGGACACCAGACTTCCTGGCCATGTCCTCTCTTTACCATCTTCATCCATTCCTCAGAAATGGCAGGGCAGACTCTGAACTTTGCTCGAAATCACTACATTGAGCAGGAAGCTAAGTTAGGTCCCTGCCATATTCCCTTATGGAGAGGAGCTTAGGCGACCCCATGGCTCAGCCCGAGAGATCACTTACAGCCTGTCTCCCTCCAGGCAGATACTAGCAGTGACTGCCTCTTCACAGTGAATGATGTCAAAATTGGAGGCTCCAAGTACGGCATCATCAACCTGCAGGGTCTGAAGGCCCCCACGTTCAAGGTGCACATGCATGAAAACCTGTACTTCACCAACAGGAAGGTATGTCCTGCCCTGCCTCTCCAGCCTTGCAGCACGCTTGATTTGTATCCAGCCCCTCGATAGTCCTCTCCCAGGGTCCGGGAAGAATCTACAACCAGCTGATAATTAATCTTTAATGAGAAGAAATGAATCTATGTACACGAAACTCCTTGGTCCATATACTTTATTATTCTGTGTCAGTTACAAGCTTATATTCTGCTCTCATATTTAGGTCATCTTTAGCCTGATTTCTCTCTACACTTGTCTGCGATCCCCTCTAGGTTCTATCTTAATTCCTTCATCTAGTTCTGCCCCTTCTAGGTTCTCATCCATCTTGTTCCTTCCCATATCATTTCCTCTCCCGTCTCCTCTCTCCTCTTCTCGTTCTACCTCATCTTGTTCTTCCCTATCTGGCTCTTTCTCATCTTCCATCTCGTTCCTCTAGTACTCTCTTGTAGCCCTTCAATCTACTTCTTCCCCATCTCAGTTTGTTCCTCTCAAGTTCTTACCCATCTGGTTCTTCCATTCTCTTTTCTCTTCTCTGTCCTCTCATGCCCTGGGAATCCTGGTATATATACACTTACAAGCAGTATTCCCTTAGCAGTGCAAAGCCAGGCTTCCAGGGTCAGATGGAGGGGTGATAAGAATCACATAGGGAGGCAACAACCGTTAATTATCACTTGCAACCCCAAAGGGAAGTGAACATTGGGGAAATAAATTAACTAAAGGCTAAATTCAGGTAATGTCTAAGAAGAGGGCTCTTATGTGCTCAACTATAATCTTAAACGTGGTTGGTAGAAAGTGTTAAGAATTGCCGGGCGGTGGTGGCGCACGCCTTTAATCCCAGCACTCGGGAGGCAGAG